CTGCGCACTGTTCTTGAGCTAATCTGAAGGCCACATGAAGTTTGGAGGTCTGTAGTGATTGACTCTGCAGAAAGTTGGCGACCTCTTCGCACTATGCGCGTCAGCATCCGCTGACCCCGCTCCGTCAGTTTACGTGGCCTACCACTTCGTGGCTGAGTTGCTGTCGTTCCCAAACACTTCCATTTTCTTATAATACAGCTGACAGTTGACTGTGGAATATTTAGGAGCGAGGAAATTTCACGACTGGATTTGTTGCACAGGTGGCATCCTATCACAGTTCCACGCTGGAATTCACTGAGCTCCTGAGAGCGACCCATTCTTTCACAAATGTTTGTAAAAACAGTCTGCATGCCTAGGTGCTTGAATTTATACACCTGTGGCCATGGAAGTGATTGGAACACCTGATTCCGATAATTTGGATGGGTGAGCAAATACTTTTGGCAATATAGTGTATCTGACGCGCCAACAGCAGTTTCTAGGTCTGCTGTATGGACCAGTTTGCATTTAGAGGGAAGCACATGTTGGAATTAGCACTGTTTCCTCTCTGACAATGCCAGAATCTCACCTACTTTTAACCTCAGACTGTCACAATAATGGATCAAATGTCAGCCTGCTTTTTTCTTTCAGTTTTAACTTGACTATACAAGACATAATAGATTTTCCTAACAATCGACGTATACCGAACCGAACCGAAAACCGTGACCACCAAACCGCCGTGAGTACCGAACCGAACTGGATTTTGTGAACCGTCCCACCCCTATTACACACCTAGCTGGTGGTCCAGTAAGCTGAGGTGCTGCAGAGTCTCGGCGGAGGGGTTGGACAGGCAGGCCAGGGAGCAGGGAGTGACCAGGCCCAGCATGAAGCTGCAGGACAGCCAGCGCAGCTGCCGGCTGTTGGACAGCAGCTCCATCAACAGCTGCTGGATCCTGAGGGCACAGGGGGGACAATCAGGGGGCATCCTGGAGCTCACAACTACAAAGGACGACTATCAGGGTTTGAAATCGTTACAGATCCTCTGCAGGAAGTGATGGACAACTTTTAAACTAAACTACACTGTTTTCATTACACGTTTGGGGATTAGTTTGTGAGTGGGTATAGTTTATTGTGTGCACTCTGAGGTTTAATTTAGAAAGTGTTCCCTCCCAGTTAAAAATAGAGGAAAACAATGAACAAGTGATTACAACCTATGATCTAACAGGGACTAACTCCTGTGCAGAAAAACATCTAAACATCCCTTAGAAACTTTTACTTCCTTAGATTATCGATGGCCCTGCCATTTCAGCCAGTCCTTAATGACAGTAATCCCTTCACTTTATTAACTGTTCTAAACCACATTTAATGTAAATTATATGCTGTAGATTTGGGGATACACAGCAACTCGAAAGTGACGTGTCAAATGTATCTTCTTGTTCTCTCCTCTTTAATTTTGTCAAATTAAGCTCGGAGGGATCAAGAGACAAAGAGTCAAGGATGATCGTACTGGTTTATAGATTAGGGATTAGAGGTAAGTGGGGAAGCAAAATGAAATGATCTTTACCCCGTTTGGAAAGACAACTGTCAGACTGTTAGTTGTAAAACCGAAAAGCTTCTCTCTTTTATTCATGGTACTAAAACGCTGGTATGGAAATGATT